AGCAAGTAGATCTCGGCGAGGTGTTTGCATTGGTGACGACTCTCAAATCCGTTCTCATGTTGATAGCCCTTGCTGGTCTCAAAGTATGTCTTGTCCTACCGTCGATTGACCTCGTACTCACTACCGTATTTACAAACCGGCATTAGTAGCAAATTCCATCATGATTACATTTTAGACGTTGAAAGTAGATCGGCCTCTAATAGTGTAGCAACTGTCTGTCGCAAGCTGCTTCACTCGTATTTGAGTTTTGTAATTGTGATACTTGATTAGACATAAGATGTCGTAGCTCTTATAACAACGTATGTTGAAAGTGGGGAATTGTAGTGTTCGTAAAACATTTGTACTGTGATGCAACTGGACACTAAAAAATAAGCCAAATTTCTGCACTAAAGCCTTCACAAGTACATTGAGCTTTCCTAAAGTACTATCATTAAGACATTATAATATTATTCGTATGTGTGATTTGAAATTATTTGGAAGTATTTTTTTCCAAAAATAATAACAATATATGATAATTTATTGATAGTTTTAGTTTTAGTTTTAAAGATTAACTAATATACCGGATATTCCAACAAATTTTTGGAACTTAACTTCCTTGAAACCATAAGATTCTTGAAGAAAAATTCTTATTATAACAAACTAGTTTCAATATAGCTCTCATCTGTCAAACTGTACTAAAATTCACTTTTATTATAGTTCACTTATCATAATTGTTTATAACACTTCACCTACTCAAATACATAGGAGTCGTGTGAAATGAAAATCTCATGCATAGGCTCAAATGAGTGTAAAAATAAAATCCCTTTCCAATCTTGGCCCGTATAACTTCCTTCTCTTCCACTACCTGCCAAATTTTATTTTTATAAACGTATAGATCTATTTCGTAGAAGATTTACCGTTCTTAAAGTTTGCCATCAATTATACGAATTACTCATTCAAGAATTTAATTATTGTGGCAATACTGCACGCATCTGGAAAAGGTAACTACATTACATTAAGGATAACTACATTACTTGCAAATAACACAAAACCCATATCATAATAACAATATTCCATGCAAAAGACATGTTTGATTACAAATAAACTTCAGTATGACTCCACTTCACTAAGCGTACTTACAATCTTTCCAATGTAGGGAACGTTCGAACATCCCTGATGGCTATGTATGTATTTGGGATTGAAGATATTTTCACGGTCCAACATTGTACTCAATGGTAGGCAGAGCATCCAGAAAAAAAAAACACTGTATATCAGAATGACGAAGAATCCAGACTATCATACTTGAAATTTCATTCTTTGGCATGCGCGTAGAGCGAATCGGATTTGTTAAAGTGAATCTCGTTGATGGTGAGACTTAAAGCATCACTTGCTTTTCACCTCGAAATAGTTGCTCAAGAGAAATTGTATAAAGACTTCGGAAAGTTTTGAAAGACATAACAGTTGTTGGCAAATAGTTCTATTCCTTGCTATCATTGCATAATGTTATCTTAGTATTCTTTAAAATTAATCGAAGAGTGGCATATCCCTGTAATCTCATATGCTAAAGCAAATGAAACATGTTCTATAGTTAGGATATAATAATCTAAATTATCACCTAGATTTTATAAGAAACTCACTATAGATTCTCAAACACTTCAAATTAGATGTCAACAATTTCATGTGAAAGAATCCAACCTATATAAAATTTTTAAAAGCATATGTTTTACGCACAGCAACTCTATGATATAATTAAAGACTAGATTGATGAGATATCAAAATCAAATTCAGAAATCAAAATAGAACAAATTTGAGGAAATTTGTTATACAAGACTTAAAATAAAACTCAAAGTGAAAAATTGAAAAGAATTTTGATAATTGAAAGACTAGATACAACTAGTGTTGATTGACAATGTCTCAAGATTCTCTATATATATTACTAGGAAGCTACTATTAACTCATAAGTTGAAAATAGTCACCAACACCGCTTCTAGTTTGAAGTTGTATTATGTATGTTATTTCCGTGACAATATGCTACGAAAGATTTTTTAGTTCAACTACACTTAGAGACACTCAGATTGATATTGTAACCGTGATAGTAAGAATGGTAATTTTAGATTTACAAAATGTTCATTCAATATCTAACCCACAGCAGGTCACATGTTTGATTTTCTCTATAAAAAGCAGTTGATGTTATATAGCAATATTTGATGATTATTTGAATTCACTGTTTTATGGAAACAGACTTAGATAGTTTGGACAAATATATGAGATAGGGTATGATGAATTTTCCGTCGTGTAGTTAACATCACTAGCCCCATGTTACCATTCGGTTTTTATATATGTGAAACTTGATGGGGTATTTCATTAACTTTCGTTGTTTTAAATTAAGGTTGTTTGCAATCTAGGTTACTTCCAGTCAACTGGATTTGACTCTACAGGCAAGTACTCTGCTTCTTGTTTGGTCAATATGAAGTATCTTGTAGGCTTTTGTATTTTACTGCGGAGAGAATGGTTTATACATCATAAATGTATCCTGAAAAAGAGTTAGGAAACAGGTGGATGTGACATGGGGTAGCAAAGTTAGTGCACTAAGAATGTCTCGTCTTTTGACAGTGATATAAGGCAGATTGTAGGAATCGTTCAAGTTGGTTAAAAGATGTATTAAATTTTTGAAAGTTACTTGAAGCGGAGAAAAGTACACGACGGATCGTTGCTTCCCTTTCATTTTCGCGGAACCGTAATTCTCAACGGGTCTGGTTTTCAGTTTCCGCAGATGAAAAGTATCGTACAAATTTCAAAAGACAAATAAGAGGGTACATCTCCTTTTACAGCAGCCATTCCTCACTTATATCATTAATACTGTACTTAATAATGTAATATATGTCCCAATTTGTAATTACATTTGTGAGAGTATAGTTTTAAAATTAGCATAATATATGCAAACGATTTATATGACTAACTTCAATTTGATGAATAAATCAAGAAATTTTACATATTTCATATATACGGAAACATATTTTCAGAATGGATTTTTTTAATTTTAAGAATCGTAGAATGTTTCCAATAAGATAAATCATATTCAAAAAAATTATAACATTTTTTTATTAGAAAATCAAGAAACGTACTCACAAAAATTTGTTCCATATTTGATACCAATATGAAAGCTTCCGTTGTAGTGATTGAGATAATTAGTGATTTTATTTACAAATTTTCAATATATGAAATTGAAACGGAGACATCTAATATATGAAATCATAGAAAATCATAGAAGTTTTCAAGATATGAAATCTAACGGAGATAATACTTGAGTACATATATTCAAAGAGTAAATTATAACACAAGATGAATTCTAAATGCAGATTTCTGTGTAAGAACCTCCTGAATGATTCACAATTTGATGACATATAAATTATATGATGTAATTCATTAAAAAACCTATACATCTGATAAATATATTTGAGATAATTACGGAAACAGTAGAATCCTTCTTACATTACAAAAAAACAATATTACATACAGGTCTGTTTCTTTGTGTAAGGAATATTATTTTTCAAGTTCATTTCCCAATTCAAATTTTTTTTCAAAGAAAGAATTCCTATCATGTTTTTTTATTGTAAATTTTGATAATCTCTTTGAGAAAGAAACTCACGAGCTGAATAAAAACTAATTTAAAAATTGTGAAATATCATATTTACTTTCTAATTCTAAATTAATAAAAAATTAACCTCATTAAGTGGCAGAATTTCAATACATACATTTTCATACAATTTGTTTCGGGCACCCATGTTTCTGTAAACATTCAGTAAGATGCTTTGAAAGATAGCTCATATGAACTATCAAGTCGATATTTAAACGATGATAATCGAATCAACGCGCTTGACAGCCTTGATTGTTGATCGAGTATGACTGATAATATTTTTATATATCTACAATAAACTATCAGTCATACTCGATCGACTCAAAACAAAACACTTCATTCAAATTTGTTGAACTCTAAAGATTAGAAATGTCGAAACTAGCTTTGTATTACCTTAATGGCCTGATTCAGTTTTATTGCTGATATATTTTGATAGATTGAACAACCGTGTGGAGCAACTTTAATTGAATCTATTGATCAGTGTTACTTTAATTGAACAGTGTATTCACATGATCTTATCATTTCCCGTTTTAATCTCAAATCTAATTCGACGACTATGAAATTGCTTAGATAGCAGGAATGCGAGCAACAAATGAAGATTGTTTCTAATGAAGATAGCTAAGGTTTTTTACATCGATGTGTAATCATAATACAGTATGATTTATAAGTTTCACTTGAAGAGACATGCTAGACCACTAGTACAGCGTGCACATTATAAGGCTAATTTTTGGAGATAAATCAGGAAATGAGTATCTAAAATGTTTATGCAGAATCGAAACGGGAGAAGCTCATCAAGTTAATACATCAGCTGAGAATTATAACGCGTCACGGACGTGTTTAGTCAACCACGAGGCAATCCTTTGATTAAACTCCTCATCTTCTCAATTTCGCATGACACCAAATGAAGTCAGATGATCACCACATCGGCATGCCAAGTTAAACCGAAAGCCACACCAACTATAAATAGACCAAGTCAAAACATAAGATAATGGGCATCAGCAATTAGTAGAAGAAATTCCGAGCATGCGTTACTGCGATTGATTGCATACGGACGACATTCAGCATGATAGATGACATCGCAACAACTCAGAACATCCGATCGAATCGGACACGTGTCAGGAGCGACGCCGAGGATGGCAAGGTTCCAGCAATTTGTCAACATAGGATAGATTAGATCATGACAGCCTAGGTGGCAACGGGCAGGAAGCAAGAGGCAGGAAGCAAGTGGCCACACGCCTACCCGGGGTCCGGAACCCTCGAGCCCTGACCCGGGCAGTGGGGGCCGACCGCGGTTAGGTTGGGTGGGTCTCGTCCGGCGAGGCGAGGATGAGCCCGGTATATTCGTCGACAATCCGCATTTCGGGCTCCGGCGTATCGTACGCATACGGGCAGATGAAGTTGGCCTTGACGTATGTGAGGACAGAGGCAGCGTAGAGGGGAGTCGGCAGAAGCAAACGACAGAGAAATTTAAAACGAATTCCGCCGCGGTGCAAGAAATTCGGTTCGGGGCTTGGGCGGAGGCGCACGAGGACTCGAGGGCGGGCGCTTTTGTATCAAATTCCAGCCCTTCAGCGAGTCCTGATGAAGGCGAAAGAGGCGCAGCAGAGCAGAGCAGTGCAGCGGAGTGCACGGTCGGAATCTTTGGTTGCGAGCTCGCTCGCTCGCGCGATGACGGGCCTGGGGATGGAGTCGTGAGCGAGGGAGGGTGATCGCAGGCAGTTTTGCCAGAGCTGCTGGTCGAGGGTGCTGCTGGACGGAAGAGCCGATCGAGCTACGGAAGGGAAGGGAAGGTGCAGGGCGGGAGTAGGAGGGGGCCCGGACGGACCTACGGAGGGAGGGAGGGAACGAGGAAAGAGCGGAAGGACGCGAGGAGAAAATAACATCGGGCATGGCGAGGATTGCGGCTCGAGGTGCTGCGGGGAGACGACATCGATGCTCGATGATGGATACTGCGATGGAGATATTGGATCTAGCGGGCGATGCGTGAGAAGAGCATTTGGTAGGCGGGCAGCCCTTTCTCCCTCGGATCCCGGACTGCATCGAGTGGGGTCCAGGGGGAGGCCTGGACTCCGAGAGAAGGCGCGAGCGCGAGAGAGAGAGAGAGTGAAGAGAAAGAGGCTGAACGAGGTCTCGAGCGGGAGAAACGGGAGGACGATGTGAAAGACAGGGAGGTCAAGTGATCTTGAAGTCTCAGGTCGTGCATGAGAGGGGCGGTGATTATGGCCTGTGTCCTGACCATGCGGTCATGTGTATAGACAGTGGATTGACAGTTTGATGCGGCAAGATATCGGACTATGAGGCCGAGGCCATGGCTTTATGTGCTCTAAATGACGCTTTTGATTCCAGGGCTCGATCAGAAGCCAGCGTCTGCAAGGTACTTATCGACGTCATTGGCTGATTCTGGTTTGTTGTGACAGTGCTGAGTCGAAGTTACTGAGTTGTATACAGAGGTGAACTACCAGGACGATGCTCTCTTTGGACGGCGGGATTTGGACTAGAGGTAGGATTTCTGATGGTTGGTGGAACACTGAAAGAGATGGAGTTTATCTGCAAGAAAGAGCGCGGGAGAATGAATATGGAAGGCGGGAAGGCTTCACTTATGCATTCTGTGTGTAGGATGAGAGGGCCGTGCTCTCGTTGAGACCTAGTTTCGGGGCACAAATTGACAGGAGGGTCTTGTGAACTTGGCTATGGTGCCCTAGCAGCGACTCTTGACTTGCAACTTCAGAGTTGGGATGCCCACGTCTTGCAGACCCTATCTGATGCGACGATAAGGGACTTGCTTCAACAATTTTGGGTCCTCGAAGAAGCTGGATAGCGTAATACCTCCCCCGTTTCCAGGAAGATAGTGCCCGAGTTGATAACGGAACCCTGAGCAGGCGACCCTTTCTAGAGCCTGATCAACCACCTGCGGTATAGACCGGTCAAAGTTCCCTGACAGGTGAACATGCGACGAAGAGTGGGAGTTTTGAATGAGTTGGCCGCAGTTGCTTTGCACGGATGGCAACTGAGACACTTGACATTTGCCATGTGCAGTGAGTGGAGCAAGGAGTAAGGTGTGACTAGTTTGTGGGTGTAGTGGAGACGAAGGATTTGCAAGTTCTCTGGAGACCAACCTTGGTGGTCGAGGATGAAGAGGTTTGGAGAAGGTACGTAGTAACTGGAACACTATCAGCATTTGGCAGAGTTTGTTGCCCTTGGAGTATTTTGAATCACGCAAGGCTCTTCACTTCCCATTCATCTGCATGTCAACTTGCGTCGCCTCATCGTAATTCTATAAGGTTTGGCCGAAATAGTTTGTTGAGACCGAATTGTCAGTTTCTTTGGAGTCGTCTTTCTGCAAAAGGCAGTCCTCGATCTGTTTGGATTAGGTTATGTCTGAAGTGTCGGAACGAGGGTCTGTGTTATTTCGTCGTCCTCATTTTAGGTCATGATGTGTTCCAGGTGCTGTCATGTGGACAATCGGAGGGCACTGCATAATTTCACATTAAAGTTTTTGCGAGCAAGTCTGATCGAGGAGTACAACAAACGCTTCAACATGAGCGTCAAACGATGGACTGTTGTTTTGGCGTTTTCAGTCATTATTTTTGGGTTTATTGGGGAGTCGGTTGGTCTCTCATCGGAAGGGATGATTCTAATGGAGGTCCGGAAGTCCCTGCAAGATCCTGAAGATAACCTGTCAAGCTGGAATGCCACAAATATCTTTCACTGTGAATGGGATGGTGTGAGCTGCGACGGTGATAGTCGTGTCTGGTCCCTCGACCTTTCGGCCAGGAATCTGACCGGGAGTATCTCGCCTGCGATCGGCCTTTTGAGTTCTCTTAGGCAACTCAACCTGTCGTTCAACTCAATTTCGGGCTCGATTCCCAGTAGTATAGGAAATTGTACGGAGCTGGAAGTTCTTGACCTCGGAGACAACTTGTTGACTGGAAAAATTCCTACAGAGATTGGGAACTTGATCAATTTGCAGGGTTTGTACCTGATCAACAATCTTTTGGGAGGATCCATCCCTTCCTCAGTAGGAAATCTGCTCGTGCTATCCGAAATTTTGATCTACTCAAATAACATCAGCGGTCCTTTGCCTTCTTCTATAGGCAATCTAACTAGCTTGAAAGTGCTCCGTGCTGGGCAGAACTCTATCAGCGGACCTATCCCTCCAAGCATAGTCAACTGCAAGAATCTGACCTATCTTGGTCTTGCTCAAAATCTCCTTGATGGGGTGATCCCGAGAGAAATGGGGAGGATGCAAAACCTTAGAAATCTTGTTTTATGGGAAAATCTTCTTGTAGGTGGGATTCCGCCGGAGCTCGGAAATTGTAGCCGATTGAAGATGTTGGCACTATACGATAATGACCTCAGGGGGCAGATACCTCGGGAGCTTGGCAGGCTACACTCACTGAAGATGGTTTACATATATGCAAATAACCTGAATGGTAGCATCCCTGAGGAGTTGGGAAATTTGACTGCTTTAACTGAAATCGATTTTTCAGAAAACGAACTAACAGGTACCATTCCAGAGGAGCTAGGGAAGATTCGGTCCCTGGAACTTCTTTCTTTATTCGAGAATAAGCTAAGGGGTCCCATCCCGCGTAGTTTCACAGAGTTGGAGAACCTCAAGGAGCTCGACCTCTCAATGAACCAGCTCGACGGGTCTATTCCGGTTGGTCTGCAGAACCTGCCGAATCTAAGTAGGCTGATACTTTTTGATAACTTATTCAGTGGAGAGATACCCCCACTTCTTGGTAGTAATATGATGTTGAAGAACCTGGATTTATCCGAAAATTATCTGAATGGAAGCATACCAGATACTCTATGTGATTCTGAAGATCTCGAGTGGGTATACTTGAGCTCCAACCAGTTGACAGGATCTGTGCCAAGTTCTTTGGCAAGGTGCAAGACTCTTCAGCGCTTAGTGCTCATGAACAACGATCTTGTGGGGTCAGTGTTGATGGACATCACGAACAACACAGAGATCATCGATCTGGAACTCAGTAACAATTCGTTTGAAGAAACCATACCTGCAGAGCTTGCGAGGTGTCGGATGCTCAAAGTGGTTTCCTTAGCTGGCAACCGATTTCACGGAGAGCTACCCAACTCACTCGGGGAGCTCACGCATTTGGCAGCCTTCAACGTCTCCAACAATCTGTTGACCGGTAGCATCCCGTCGTCACTGGGCAACTGTTACAAGCTACTTCGCCTGGATCTAGGAGGAAACATGATCAGTGGCAGCATCCCTGCAGAGTTTGGAAACTTGACCTTGCTGGAGCAGCTATCTCTTGCAGACAATAACATTACTGGTGAAATTCCCCCGTCTCTCAGCAGCTGCTTCCACTTATCAGTTTTGGAACTGGGCGGCAACAAGTTGCAAGGATCCATTCCATCAGAGTTGGGAAAAGTTATCAGTTTACAGTATGCCCTTAACATCAGTAGTAACTCACTGTCAGGAGAAATCCCTCCTGAGCTGGGAGACCTGGTACTCCTGATGTCCTTGGATCTGAGCAACAATGAGCTCACAGGATCTATTCCAGATGCTCTTGGGAAACTGACTGGTCTTACATTCCTAAATTTATCTTACAATTTGTTGACAGGACCACTGCCCAGCGTACCCGTCTTCCAGACAATGACGGCGAGCTCCTTCGATGGGAACAAGGGTCTGTGTGGAGGATTGTTACAAATGTGCCCATCAAATAATGGTTTTTCTCCCCCACATACTCAAGGTTACATGTGGCAGGAGACAACCGTCTCTACCGGAGCGTTGGTCGGTATAATAGCCGCTGTCATTGGTGGTGCTGCTTTCATGATTATTGCAGGCGCTTGTTGGTTTTGCAAGCACCCCGGTGTTCTCTTGCCAGCCGACGAGAAACCTCACCTTTCTCAGGTTTCTCACTATGCTTCGAGTGACGGTATACATAGTGAGTTTGCAAAAGGGGCAAATAAGAATGTGCGGGTACCTTAAGGAGGAAGGAGAACTGCACTTAGCGCAGCCTGGAAGGGAGCCAACTCTAAACGCCAATGCTTTGTGGGGAGGACTTCGTACCATCCAAAGTGCAATCAGCTTCAATGCCGAACGTCCGGGCAAGGAGCAGCAACCCAACACAGAGTGTTGCGGGTTGGAATCTTGTGCAGCATGGCTACTAGCACATTGGATAGCGGCGGAGCTTCTCCTGATTGGGTCTTGTATCCCCAATCGGGCCATGGCTCCAGAGTGGTTGTTGGAGTGGCTACGAGCTTGACCTCCTTGCGTTATGATAAAAAACGCACGTTCTACATGGTGAGATCTTTTCAAAATAATATGCCGCTAGATGAAACACACGAGGCACATGTCAGAGATTTTGTTTGTCAAACTTTACCGACAAAGCCGACATGGTCGATTTCGAAGACGGCAGTTGCTGGCCTTTAAGATTATCTTGCGTCTGGTAAGTTTTACTCAATCCCATTTATTTTCTTTCCAGTGTTTTTCAAACTGTTATTTCATTGATTTCTGAGATCAGTTGTTCTACTGTCCTTTTACTGTCTTACACATGTGGGTTTGGCGTGAGTGTCGTACCAAGTCACCTTTAACCAATCATTTGCCAAGATATTGCTATCTTCTCCTGAGCTTGAGTTATGAAATTGGCCTTAGATCTCAACGTTTGGCATCATTTTGGGAAAAAGGCTAGTCTGAAGCATTCCTGTTGAATATGTGATGGCTCCACCAGTTAGGCTGAGTGACAAATAGATGTTTTCTTTCCTGAGCTCCTCCTCAAATTTTCTCATTGTCTTTTCCTGAAAGAATTAGATTCCATTCGAAGTATTCTGCAGATCGTGAGGTCGACGGCTTCTACTTAAAGCTTTGATCTTGTAGACTTTTGATAGGCACAGCTGCGTTCCAGAGCTTTATAACTTGTTTCTACGTTACAAGTACTGTAAATGTACTTTGTTAACTCCTTAGTATTTGAAACAGATTACATCGCGTGTCCTCAGTAGAGTTTGCTGAGAACCATTACTTCTATCCAAACAGTTTAGATGCATTTGATAACTACAGGACCTCGTGACGAGGAGTACTAATTTCACCCAGCTACCTGGAGAACGTGATGGCTGTGATGAAGTGGCGGTGATGCGCATATTTTGTAATCTACAGCATGTTCAATCTGGCCGGGAAGTTGTCTTTGGACATTTCCTGTGAATTTTTGGTTTGTGCTCGTCCATCTTCGTACTACCGAATTCACGAGGTTCCATTATGCTCAAATTTATGCCTTGCGCTCTGCAACGCTCGTTAGTGTGAAGTCATGTTGCCGTGTACCTCACTAGGTTCTTCGATATGATTTTTTTTCCTTGAAGACAATGTTATTTTGAAAGTTTATTTCGCAAGTTTTGCAACGAACATTGCCCTACGTTTGGCCTCGAAAGGGTTAAAGAAATCTTTGGTTGAACCTTTTAATTCTCTATGTTTGCAAATTGCCCCATCGTTGTAGAAAATACAGAACTTCGTAACAAGGAACAAGATCTCACTTCTTCTGTGTAAGAAGAAGTGAGATCTTGTACCGTTTGTGGGCAATCGTGAAGGCTTGGTGCTTTCGAATAGGGCTGTTTTCTTGCCATGTCAGAGCTGTTTTGGACTTTTTTGAACTTTTTTACTGGCGATTCTACTAAACGATGAACTTGTTACCGGTGCTTTGTACAAACGAGAGGTCAATATGGCATATGTAGCGTCATCACTTAATATGCTCTGTGCAATACTTCCCTTGATCTGGCATTGACTGCACATGAATGTGCGCAGAAACTCCGTACACCCATCTATACGTTATATTGTAACCTACTTGTGAATCCGCCAATGGACTGAATATCCATTGTGAGACGAAGTCGTACACGTCCTGTTCTAGCAAGGGAAGACAAGAACTTTGTATAATTGTTTTTCTTACCTGGGCAACCATTTGTTCAAACCTACGGTGAATTTATCATGTTTCCCTCAGGGTAGGCTCTGAAGAAGTCACGTTGCTGAAGGGCATGGAAATTGCAAGAGTTTGCAGCATGTTATACTGGCTGTATCCGTTGAAGCTGGGTTGTACCTCTCTCACTAATTTATGAACCCTCTTGTGCGTAACTCATATGAAGTGAAGGCTTGTAAGACACCCTTATCGGTCAAGGCCTTACCTAGCAATTTCCTTTCTCGATTTGCATGTGATGTCAAAGTTCTGCTTACCAATGTTATGGTTATGTACCGTTTACTCGATGCTACTGTTTTCTCGACCTAGGAACTTTGGTCTCGACCTTTATGCCCTTCTTTGCTAATTTTAGTAAGTTGATTTGAGCGAAAGTTTCAAGGGTTTTCTAGAAAGAACCTTTTATCCGTAGGTAACGTCATCGGTTTTGTCACCTTTATGGTGTGTACGGTTCTTGGCATTGTGTTTAGTAATGGGAGTTCCCTCAATTATACTCTCATCCATTTGCAGGTTCGCAAGGTCTATGGTTTTTTAGTTCTTAACCCTGTGCTAGGCATGTTAAAATATAGGTCTGAAATGGACTTTTTGTCTGTTGGGTTCCAAAGTTCACCTTAATCCCGGAGTGGTCCAGTACAGAGCCGATTCACCGAGGTACCCACTGAGGAAGCCGGACTTTATGATGTAATGGTTCTGATGCCCTTTGGTCAAATCTTGCTTCTGGTCCTTAATCCCCTCTCTCATCGGATGTGAGGAACTTTACTGTACGATTGTCTTCAAATTGCTTTAAATCACTCTGATGTATTAACCTGTCCTCCGCATCTCTGACATGTACTCTTCTTTTTGTTGTCAGGTAAATGCGTTTTTCTTGCCTTCCTTTCTCGCATGCAGTTTGTGCTTTCTACACCGTGTCAGTCCATCGAACGCTATCTCTGGACTTGCTTAAACTTTAGTCTTGCCTTGTTTACTTCGACAATCCTATGCCTTCCTTATGCATTCGTTATCGTGTCAGGCTTTGTATGTTTGCTGCCATACCGTCTTTTGGTACATGCATCGTCATGTATGACCTAGTGTAGTTGGATTCTTTTATACTCTTTAGTGTAGGCGTATTGAGCGATTTTTGTTTTCTGTACAAGATTGAAATCTTGGACAGATGTATGCAATGAATACTGAAAATGCCCCTTGCTCAAGATGATTGTTCAGTAGGTAAGTTCCCTTGTGCTGATACTCCATATCAGCAATAAGTTGACAGCTTGAACTTTTGCACCACGAAGTGTCCCTCTCTTAGGATTTTATGAGAAGCTTGGGGGGAGGTTGACATTAAGGCAGATTGAAGGATTCTGACCAACGTGTTCTTTTTAAAGCTTTGCAGGTCAACAGCACAAGATGTGTACACTTCAAGAGCAATGAAGGTACACTACTGACTGGTACAAGGAAGGCGAGCGATGAACTCGTTGACGAAATTTAATTCACTGGCTCGAGGAACGTACTGAAAAGTACTCGCGCATGTGCAAAGGGGAAGTCCAGTAGATATATAGACTTCAGTTAGCTTATAGTCAAGGATTAGTCCGTACCATATTCCCCATGCGGATGCAGAAGATTCAAGTCAGGATTAAAGAAGACTTGTATATCACACTTGACGTCGGGCTTGCGTAGATTCATACTAACCTACATGTGTAAACTCCTATTCCAGGAGGTTATAGTGTCGGACGATGTATCTATTACCATGTCGTGTCAGTAGCTCTGTAGCCGCTGTATGGAACTGGTTGAGTTGAAGAACTGGTGTTGTAACAAGGAAACTGTATAACTTAACATTTGTGCATGTCATAATATCAAGCACATAGAATTGCAATATTTGAACACGATAATGCGAACAGATGTACTAATTTATGGCCGTCGGAAGTCTTTGCATCTAATGTGTTAGTATCTGCCTTTTGACCCCCAACCGTCGTATTGGACTTATCAAACTGCTAGTATATGCCATAATACTGGGTAGAACCTTTTCTGTACAGAGCCGTGGTGGTCACTCGTTCCTTCAACTTTCTATGATACAGACAACACTTCCGAACCCTAGGAAATCAAGTCTACTTACGTTCGAAATCTTGTGGAGTTAAACCTACATTATAGTCTTGGGAGTCTTGCTTTTAAGGTTTATAAATCGATCTGGGAAGGTCATCTTTAGGTTTAGGGTTTAGAAAACGTCAGCTGTCCAGAAATCAGATTTTTTTACTCCGGAAACATGAATTGTCGCAGGAGTCACGCCACCAGCATGATAGATCGATCATCCAGGAATGGTTGGTAGTTAATGACGGATTTTGCAAATATAGCTGTTTCAGTCTTCTGGAACACTCCGCAGTGTCTGCAGATGAATCTCATGCATTTCGGAAGACGAGACGTTTGCTTGGATAGTGGCTTCATTGGGCAACCAGGACTGACTACATTATCCTCCCGAAACTAGAAGAAAATAAGATCAACTTAACACACCGCTTAGAACGTTAGAGCCAGTGTGAAACAATTTGTTTTCACTAATGTTATCGCATTGAGTGTATTACCAGAGTCGAAAGATATCTCAGAAGGCCATATATTCTGTATCAAAGGAAATTGCCCGATGTACTACTTCCCTCTCGAAGTTCTGATTTAGGTACCTGTAGACTGCGAATCGAGCGCAAAGGAAAGCAACGAAGAAAATAGGAGGGCGAAAACTCGCAATACTGTCAAGGAAAAGGATCAATCCTGCACATATAAGAAGCAAACATTTTATCTGGAAAAGCTAGGGGAAAAGTAACGTCTAGTCTTGGAGCACGCTTACATATGGCCAATTTGCAACTTGGAATGCAGATCATACTTTAGCCGTAAGGTACACAGTGTTTGTTATATATTCCTGATAAGATAGCATTGATATGCTCTGATGGCTGGGTTACAATAGGCATATAGTTAATTCGAGCAAAGTGTGGCGGATGGGATAGATGAAATAATCACATCAATTTTTTCATTATAATTGAGTGATCAATATGTTTCATTACAAGTAATAAATTATAATTAACTTGACAAGAGACAACGAATGAAACATCGTCTTGCAATTAATGAAAATATTGTAAGGTTACTTTTTGATTTTGAAGTAACATAGAACTATGAATAATAGCTATACGTTCATATGCACAGTTATACTAATGTACATGTTATTTTTCTTCTTCTTTACTTCTTAGAAAGATTTATCATACAAGTTTTTATTTGTCCATATAAAGTATTTGTTGTGGCAATTTTTTTAATAGCAATCATGTTAGATCATGTTTATTTGTATGAATTATTCTTTAATGAAAAATTTCTAGTAAATAGATTTTTTACTTAAATTTTAAAATTGTGTTTACAATTATCTTTTGCAAGTCAATACTTTGCCATCAAATTAGTCTTTGGTTTGAATAATATTCCAAAATTGTTAGCATTGAGAGTGTATTTTCATTCTCATGTTTAGATTTGAATGTTCTTAAGAGCAATTGTACTTGGCTGTATCAAGTTTGATTATCAACCTCTCTTTATGATTGGATCAACATTCAATTTGAAATCATTTCAAATTTTGTTATACATTCATTAGATCTTGATTTTTAATTGAATTCAAAATTTGTCGTTAAAATAACTTTCTGAAAAATTTCACAAATCATATATTTTGTACATTAAAAATTAAGAATAAAAATATAATTCAAAGCGTCAAATTTTTTTGAAAAAATGAATAGCAAAACACATTTAATGTCGAAACAAATTCACACAAAAGCACAAAGACATGCAAGTACAGGCTAAAAAATTATTGTGGTTTGCCATTTGACTATGTCTACGGATCACAAATTTTACTTATAAAGTTCAAAAAACTAGCTAGAGTTTTCCATCTTAGTAGTTATAGTCGAAACCCAAACTCACATCTCAACAAGTTCTAAATAACACTTGACGTGAATTACAGCCTAACAATTTTTTCCTTAATTCATTTTGAATAGACTATAATTTCCATAACCTAAAAAAATTACTTTGCAAAAATTTTTGGAAGAAAATCTAATGAATCTTCTACGATTATAGTTGGGCACGTTGTGTGCAAAAGAGTATTGAAGCTGGTTTCAAAGCTCTATATTCCTTGCTAAATAGCTGTAGAGGAGCTCATCTAGTGTCTTGGAGTCTAAGGAAATTCTTATTTATGAGCTTAGTGTTTCCCGTTATCTTATGGAACACAAGTGTGGGAATCTAGTTGTAAGAAGACAGGTTGGCAACGTTTGGAGAGAGTGCAAAAGATCTTCTTACAAGAAAAATTGGGTGTGAAGACCCAAACTTCATATGCTATTCTTCTTGCGGAAACATGTTGTCTACATCTTGAGTTTGAAGCTCTCTTCTTGACTATCACTTATGTAAAAAAAGTGAGATCTCTTGATGCTTCTCGACTTTCTCTTGAAGCTTTGCGTGCCACACGTCACAAGAGATGGTTTGCAGATGTGGTGACTTGGTCTTTGAGGTGAAATGTGACGGAACTTGATTGGGATTTGCAACCTATGGCCCTTCACGAACGTATCAAGGAGTAATTTCTCAGCATTATTTGGAGCAGACAAGACACTAAAATGTAGTTTTATCAACTTCATGTGAATCCTATGCTTGTTCATTGTAAGCAAGTATAGTTACTTGCGGAGATCTCTACATCTTTACGTCATATTATTGCTAGGCATAGAACATGATCTTATAGTCTTGGGGTTGAAGAAGGTTGTTGGTTGAACATTGATAGGAGTGAACGTATTTGTAGGCTATGTGATTGCAAAAAAGTTGTGGATGAAGAGCATGTGTTTGTTACTTGTACTAGATATATAGAGATTAGAGTGGCTCATAAAGTTGTTGAGAATTTCTATTCCTTGCTTCAGCTTGAGCCTTATGATTTAGGTTGTTACATTAGGGATGTTATTAGTTGCCGTTTGAGTGCTCTTGGCACTAGGTAAGGGTCTCTTTTGATTCTCTCATAGATTGGAGTTGGATTGTTTATATTGTGTTTTTCAGCCTTCTGACTCTTTGGGTCCCACGGGCTTGATCTATTTACAAATTCTAACAAATATTACTCTTCAAACTAGAACAAACCAGAACAAACTTGAAGCCAAATTAAGAGATTATAAAGCATTAATTGCATCAAATTTAACGTCAATCTTGACTAGCTAAATTTATTATCAAAAATTTCATGTATGATAAAATGATACGTGATTTTTATGCGTTTTACTCAATTGTCCATCATTTTATTTGCACATCACTTTGACTTTCACATTGACAACCTCTTGTTTTAGTACCGTATTAGTGATAAATCTATTTAATCAAATAACTTATTTTGTTGCTTCTGTTGTAGCTAGATATTCATCTTCCATTGTAAATTAGACCAAGTAAGAAAATCATTAAACCTTAAAAACTCTTATTTTTTTAATGCTTTGATAAAATATTTAGATTTCTTTGTGGCATGTATCATCGTGCTATTCAATAAGTTTGATTTTACATTTCATAATAATGATTGAGAGATGAAATTTGTATGAGTCATTTGTTAGTTTTTTTTTTTGCTCTCTTTGTACACAAATTTTAGTATCAAGCACTTATGCTACTTTGCTAATTTTTTGTTTAAATACTTTTAGGTTTTTTAAAAAAATCATGATTCAAGATAGATTTTGAGATATCTTAGATTAACTTTCAACACAAATTTCTGGTCATCCAAGTACTTTCAATATTTTGTTATCAACTGAAAAAATAATTCCTCTCATTTAGTTGTTTGATAATTCTATTTGACTGCCATCAAACTTGAAGAAAAAACAAATTAAATTTTATCTCTCATCCTTTTCTTATTTGAATATGTCACTCACGATGATACTCAAAAAGTTAGTGCCCAACTTAATGAATCAAATAAAATCATATCATTTAAAAAAAAGATTTGTATAGCAAAACGTCTCTTTCAATAATTGAAATTCAAATCTTTGAGCTATTTTTCATTTCCATATTTTTCCATTTGTCTAGCATAAATAATAAGTCTTCAACAAGACAAAAAAACTGTTTATAGTTAATAATAATAATCATTCAACACTGAGAAACTCTTTGATTTAGCTTATCAATAAGATATTGTACACTTCTAGATTGATTATTTTATCGGTCATCATTTGACTGACTTCTACAACACTATATGATCTATATTTTTATTGTTAAATTCGTATTTTGAAACTTTGACATGTAATTTAATATTTTTTTTGAAGTTTGAGTAGTTTCTATAGATGTTGTTTATGATAATTTGATATTTTGTTATAAATCAAAATATTATGCACAAGATCCATTCACCTCTATTCTTCTATATACTTTTGTAAGATGAAGATCAAATTGTTTAGGGTTGTTTTTTGTTCTACAACAATGTACCCTGACTTTGTGCTCTTCTTGTCAGACGATGTCTATCCAGACTTACCAAACCCAAGGAGTACTTTCAAAGAAAAAAAGTAATAAGCCACTTCTTGAAAATCTAGAGTAATAAACATTAATTGATGTGTCTACATAAGACTTGATAATACCGTTTATCAATTTCATGAATGTAAAAGTTGCTGGTGAGATTAAAAGTTATGACTAGATATCAAAATGATCATACATAATACAAAAAATTACCTTGTGAATGTCTTCATACAAAAATTGATTTTGGTCATAATTGCCACTCAAATTAAATTTTATAAATTATTTTTTAACTTGAATTTGATGAAAATAAGTCATATGTATTTTTTGAATGGATTTTTTTTCATTATCAATTTATATAAATTACATTAATCAATGCATAAATTTATTTTTTCATTTATATTTTTCATAAATAGCACTAATGTGCTGCAAAATGAATT